GTTGAAGTCTCCCATCAACACCGTGTAGTGGGTTTTGGAGGAATGCATGGCTTTGGAAATATCCTCATACATTTCCTCCACCTCCTCATCGGGATGTGCCGAGGTTGGTGCGTAAACCTGTATGACCTTCAGCGAATATCGTTTGGTGAGTCTGAGTATCAGGTACACGACCCTCGTCGACACACTCCCAATCTTTACAACTTTGTTGACGGGAGACTTGTCGACACCTGCTTGGGACATATGGTCGCCCTCCCGGTGATAGAACAAGTTGCCGGAGTCGAGGATTACCATGTCCTCCCCCTCTCTTCGGACCTCAGATAAATCAATAATATGCCAGCGCAACTTTTCTACCTCTTCTTCCATTTCCAGTATCTTCTCGTCAGTCCTCAGGGTGCGTGCGTTATATGTTGCCAGGTCGAGTCGTCGTAGGTGGCAACCGAACCTCCGCCGGAGATTCTTAACACCCCCTGCCCCGCCGTTACCATGGTCGCCACCGTAGCCAGGAATAGCGGGGCCGCCGGGGACTGGGGGCCGTTTGTTTGCGTCGTTGCTCATGGGAGGATATTTGCCATAGTTGCCACGCTTGGCGAGCGGGTTGGCAACCGCTGTTTTTTATTATGTTATTGTTGTTATTAAGAAGATGCTACCGCCCATCTCCTTTCTGTGTCCCTCTGTCGACTCTTATGACACCCACGGGAAGATATGGGGTAGTAGGTCCTCAAGGTGAGTGTATTATTTGTTGCCAGGTCCAGTCGTCGTAGGTGGCAACCGAACCTCCACCGGAGATTCTTAGCATCCTCTGTCTCCGTCGTTACCTTGGTCGAAATCTGTAGATATACTTACATATTATAAATAAAATTGAAGATTTTGTTTGTAATACCCAAGTAACTGTCATCAAGACATAAAAAACTATTTTTTTTAATTTGTCTGTCTTTCTGTCCGAGCTAATCTTCGGAACGGCTTGTAATGAAGGAACCGTTTATAATGAAACTTCATGATAGAGAGTAGTAGAGTAATGTACCAGGAGCGGGGCTTCAAAAAAATCGAAAAGCTCCCCATAAAATTCACATGCAGTTGCATGCGTCCGTCAAATCCCGAGCGGTCGCATGCGACCGCACCCACCCACAGCACTTTAAACTATTAAGACTTATATTTAGAGGCTACTTTTCTATGAAGAAGTTTGGCATTATAGAATTAATACAAAAGTCCCTATCCTGTGGTCTAAATAAAAGTCAGTTACTCTTTGTATTTTTATTTTTATCCTTCTGTCAATTTACGACATATTAAACAATAAAATACAGCACTTTAAACCATAGAAACTTATATTTATAGACTACTTTTCTAAAAAGAGGTTTGGCATTATAGAATCTATACAAAATTCTCTATCCTGTGGTCTAAACAAATCAATTACTCTATAGATTTTTATTTTTAATATACCGTAAAATTGCACCATTTTCGTATGGTCTGCAAATATCTTAAATCGATAGTAGAATGAAAATAAAAATACATACAGTAACTGAGTTTTGTTTAGACCACAGAATAGAAAATTTCGTATAGATTCTATTATGCCAAACTTTTTCCCAGAAAAGTAGTCTCTAAATATAAGTATTTTAAGGTTGAAGGGCTGTGGGTGGGTGTGGTCGGATCAGACCGCTTGAATTTTGACGGAACATCGCCTTGATCGATTCCGACCGTGTGGCCGTTGAAATTTGTCTAGATTTAAGTATTTGAGTTGCAATAAAATTAGTAGATTTTTTTAAAAAGAATATTAACAATGCTATAAACATTATTAATATATTCCCCTTAACCACTCGTGGTAAGGTTAAATTGCTTGTGTTACGAGTGGTTCACGCCAGTAGTCGAATGGTGGATTCGAACCCACGACCTTTTTGAGTTCGCGGTCCGCGCCCTACCATTAGGCTACTGTCGCCTATTATTATTAATATTAAATAGACTCTAAACATCCACAAACTGTAGATATAGCAAATCTGTTTATTTATGTATACTTATTAACATATTATTATTATTATTATTATTATTGTGGGGTATCTATATAGTTTTCTCATCTGGTTGGGTTCTATAAATATATAATTATAAATGAAAATGAAAAGATAAATATACATAAATATCAATAACATAAAATAAATATAAAAATACATAAATAAATAAAAGCCCAACCAGATGGAGGCCCTCGGCAGGGGAGACCAAACGGCCAAGGGTTAGGGGAAAGGGAAAGAAACCGGCGGACGATGCGGGCGGTATCGAGGAGCACCGCCTTCTGCTTTGAGCCCGGAGCGGTCCGCCACGTAGTCCCAGTCGCCTCAGATGACCCGAGAGGCTGACTGGGATTAGCCCGTTTGCAGAGACGACTACAGGAATAATTTCGGTCGGCAGACCACCCCATATGTCGGTCACCTCGTGAGCCAGGTCCAGATATTTTGTTTGCTTGTCTGTTTCGGTATAGGTTCTCGTCATACGGAATGGTAATGTCGACCAAAAATATCCTTGACTGTGCCCGGTCCATCAGCACAATATCAGGCTTATTCGCAAGAATAGTCCTGTCTGTGATGATGGCCCGGTCCCAATAGAGCCTGGCGCGATCATTTTCGAGCACGGCTTCCGGCAAGTACTTGTAAAACGGCAATTTCCGATCCACGAGACCGTATTTCAGAGCGAGCTCCTGGTGAAGAATTCTGGCTACTAGGTTGTGCCTGTGCAAGTACTCAGAGTTAGAAAGCGCCGAACAACCGGAGATGACATGCCTAAGTGACTCACCGGGATGGCGACAAGCTCGACAGATGTCCACGGTGCCATCCTTTAGGATGTATACCCGATAGTAGTTGGTCTTAATAACCTGATCCTGTATTACACAGACAAAACCCTCGGTTTCCCCGAAGAGATCACCAAAGCGTAGCCAGTGGAGGGAGGCTACTGTGTCTACGAAAGGCTCATGTAGAGCCTTGTAGAACCTCCCATGGAGCTCCTTCTCCTTCCATACGGTTTCCCGGTCGGAAATGCTAAGCACTGCTGGGTCCTGCCATTGCTCGTTGGCTAAGGATAGAGGGGTAAGCCCTTTATCACTAGAAATGACCGTCATTATAGAATAGATCATCCGATCTCGCCAGGAAGTAATCACGGAGGCTGCACACTTCGCGATTATGCATGGTGAGCGCGCTCAAAAAACCACGACCACCATGCTTTCGCGGCAAGTACAGCCTCATTACCGACGATCTCGGATGATGCATCCTATGGGACGTCATGGTAGTGCGGACTTTTCTATCCAGGGCGTTAAGTTCAGTCTGGGTCCACCTGAGTATGCCAAAGGTATACATGAGGACAGGCATGACCCAACCGTTATATGCGTGTGTCTTATTCACACCGGACAAAAGGCTGTTAAGCACTTTGGTCAAGCGTGCATAAAACAAGTCGCAAACTGACTGTTTCATACCAGCCTCATCGATACCGATGTTCTGTGACATACCCAGGTATCGGTATGTTTCAGCCTCGGAAAGAGTCCTTAAGTTGACGGGCATAGATAAGTCTATGCCCTCAGAGTTAGCAACCCTTCCCCTTTCAACATGGAGGACCGCACACTTATCCGTTCCCAGCTCCATTCCAATAGAACTGCTAAATTCACAAGTGATGTTTAGCAATTCCATAAGATGGGAGCGACTGGAGGCGAATAACTTGAGGTCATCCATATAGAAAAGGTGGGTCACTTTTGTACCATCTTTCCGAAGCTGAAATCCCCTCCCGGAGCCCTCCAGTAAAGTACTGAGAGGGTTCAGGGAGAGGCAAAACCAGATTGGACTCAGACAATCGCCCTGGAAGATACCCCTTCTTATCCTTATGTGGTTCTCCGCAGCCATCATCCGCTCGCCCAGATAGCAAAGGATCATACTCCATTGCCCCATACACTGCTCGAGGAAGTCTCCAACTGTACAGTCAATTTTGTACAGCTGGAGGACTCTCTTTAGCCATGAATGGGGCACCGAGTCGAATGCCTTTCTGTAGTCTATCCAGACGACGGAGAAATTCAGACGGTTGCGTTTCACCACTTTGCCAATGACCGCGTCAGTGAGGAGTGGTTCCTTGGTTCCACGACCACCGCCCCGGCATCCATTTTGAGCGCGTGACATCACCTGATTTAGCTCCAGGTGACGAGTGATTCTCGCGATCCCAGTAGTGAAGAAGCTCGGGAGCGACTTCTGATCGAGAGCCTCTTGAAACTGTCGGGCGAGCACAGCATGACACACTACGCACCCCTTCAGCCAGTAATGATGCAGCCCGTCGAGCCCCGGAATTTTCCAGTTCGGGGCCCTACAGACCGCCTCAGCCACGTCTTCAGGCGTTATGGTGAGGGGGTCCATAGGCGTAACACTTGCACTCTGGCTCGCCACAACTTCCATCCAAGGGCCCTCGCTGTGGTTTACGGGCTCTGACCACAGGTTACGCCAAAATGCGACAGTGTCGGCCTGATCCGGTCCTGGGCCCGCTCCACATACCTCTGGTCGCTCCAATGATTTATAGAGATATTCTGATCACTCTGGAAGAGACGATTCTGGTTGAACCGCCTTGACCTCTCGCTAAATCGTCGAATCCGCTTCCCCCAAGCAGCGATTGTTTGCTTCAGGTCATCTATGCGCTCCATTAGTTTTTGCGTGATATCCGGTTGGAACAAACTGATATTTATCCCAGCAAACGCCATCCTAACGGTGCGCATAATCCTCGGTCTATTATTACCCGACCTGAAGCTTGTCAGTCTGCCGATAAGGGCCCTTGCCTTTGCGATACGGTCCTTAATTCTTTTTCTCCAGGCTGGCATGGCGCTACTTTTTTGAGTAGCATGTCCAGCCACGGGAAGTTTGGCGCCAATAATACGGCAGACTGCCAGTGCGTCGCCAAAAAGAATTGAATCAGTTTCGCAAATCTCGCGGCCGGCTTCCAAGTACGTCACCAGCATTGGGCTTAGAGCCCTACCGGCAGCCCGATTTCGCTTGCTAAGGGGTATGCGGGGGAAGTTGCGGTCGATTCTCGAGAGGCGTGCTGCGCGTTTCCAGCATCGACTCTTCCAATATGCTCCTCATTTTCTCTAGTTCGTGGAAGACTATTCCATCATCGTCTGAATTAGCCACAAATGGAATGTTGACGGCAGCATCCACATATGCAGTTTGTTGCGCATCTAGTGGCGCCGCATTTCCAGCCGTAGCATTTCCATTCGATGAAGGAATAGCCTCACGTCGTAGTCGCTCGAGTTCGGCGTCACCAAATATGTTGGAGCGCAGGATGTACCTAACTCGGTCTGCCAGGTTTTGCTCAGTGACGGATAGAGATGGCTCCAGCTCTGCAAAAAAGCGATGCATCCGAGCCCGATACGCCAAACATCCAGTTTCTTCCCCTTTTGCCCTAAAATACGCCCGCAGTGCGTTTTCATTCATTGATTTAGACCAACGCATGCGACGTGCTCCACCAGCGGCGGGTGCCGCTTGCTGAGTCCGAGAAGACCCAGCCGACACCAAGCCTTCTGGTGGGGATGATGGATGCGGGGGGCTGCTAGGTGGTCTTGCAACACCCCGCGCTCGGCTGGCGGCCCGCATGCTGTCGCGTCCAGCGCCAGCTCCATACGCGCCCTGGCGACCTCCAGGCAGCGGCCCTATGCGCACTATCTTTATTTCCATCATCCATAATATGGGCGTCCATTAACGGGAGACGCCCAGGCCCGGCACCGTATCGTGGACGGCCATAAGCACAAACGGGCCTTTGCACCCTGAATTCTGCCGAGGCACGGCGCTCACACCTCTCGCAAGGCGCTGACTGACTGCGTTGACGTAGCAGTTTTGTCACTTAACTGTTACGTCATTATTTTTATTATTATTATTATTTTGTGGGGTATCTATTATTATTATTTGGGGTATCTATATAGTTTTCTCATCTGGTTGGGTTATATAAATATATAATTATAAATTAAAATGAAACGATAAATATACATAAATATCAATAAAATAAAATAAATACAAAAATACATAAATAAATAAAAAGCCCAACCAGATGGAAGCCCTCGGCAGGGGAGACCAAACGGCCGAGGGTTAGGAGGAAAGGGAAAGAAACCGGCGGACGATGCGGGCGGTATCGAGAAGCACCGCCTTTTGCATTTGAGCCCGGAGCGGTCCGTCACGGAGTCCCAGTCGCCTCAGATGACCCGAGAGGCTGACTGGGATTAGCCCATTCGCAGAGACGACTACAGGAATAATTTCGGCCGGCAGACCACCCCACATATCGGTCACCTCGTGAGCCAGGTCCAGATATTTTGTTCGTTTATCTGTTTCGGCTTTCACGAGGTTCTCGTCATACGGAATGGTAATGTCGACCAAAAATATCCTTGACTGTGCCCGGTCCATCAGCACAATATCAGGCTTATTCGCAAGAATAGTCCTGTCTGTGATGATGGCCCGGTCCCAGTAGAGCCTAGCGCGGTCATTTTCGAGCACGGCTTCCGGTAAGTACTTGTAATACGGCAATTTCCGATCCACGAGACCGTATTTCAGAGCGAGCTCCTGGTGTAGAATTCTGGCTACTAGGTTGTGCCTGTGCAAGTACTCAGAGTTAGAAAGCGCCGAACAACCGGAGATGACATGCCTAAGTGACTCACCGGGATGGCGACAAGCTCGACAGACGTCGATGGTGCCATCCTTTAGTATGTATCTTCGATAGTTGTTGGTCTTAATAACCTGATCCTGTATTGCACAGACAAAACCCTCGGTTTCCCCAAAAAGGTCACCTAAACGTAGCCAGTTGAGGGAGGCGACTGTATCTACGAAGGGATCATGTAGAACCCTGTAGTATCTCCCGTGGAGCTCCTTCTCCTTCCATACGGTCTCCCGGTCGGAAATGCTTTGTACTGCCGGGTCTTACCATTGCTCGTTGGCTAAGGATAGAGAGGTAAGTCCTTTATCACTAGAAATGACGTCATTATAGAATGGATCATCCGATCTCACCAGGAAATAATTACGGAGGCTGCACACTTCGCGATTATGCATGGTGAGCGCGCTCATAAAGTCACGCCCACCATGCTTTCGCGGCAAGTACAGCCTCATTACCGACGATCTCGGATGATGCATCCTATAGGACATCATAGTAGTGCGGACTTTTCTATCCAGGGCGTTAAGTTAGGTCTGAGTCCACCTGAGTATGCCAAAGGTATACATGAGGACAGGCATGACACAGGCATGCGTGTGCCTTATTCACAATGGACAAAAGGCTGTTAAGCACTTTGGTCAAGCGTGCATAAAACGTGTCGCAAGCTGACTGTTTCATACCAGCCTCATCGATACCGATGTTCTGTGACATACCCAGTTATCGGTATGTTTCAGCCTCGGAAAGGGTCCTTAAGTTGACGGGCATAGATAAGTCTATGCCCTCAGAGTTAGCAACCCTACCCCTCTCAATATGGAGGACCGCACACTTATCCGTCCCCAGCTCCATTCCAATAGAATTACTAAAATGACAAGTGATGTTAAGCAATTCCATAAGATGGGAGCGACTCGACGCGAATAAAATAACGTCATCCATAAAGAAAAGGTGGCTCACTTTTGTAACTCCTTTCCGAAGCTGAAATCCCCTCCCGGAACCCTCCAGTAAAGTACTGAGAGGGTTCAAAGAGAGGCAGAACCAGACGGGACTCAGACAGTCGACCTGGAATATACCCCTTCTTATCCTTATGCGGCTTTCCGCAGCCGTCATCCGCTCGCCTAGATGACAGAGGATCGTACTCCACTGCACTACCTTAGGAACCAAATGAGTGATCCCAGTAGTGAAGAGGCTTGGGAGCGACTTCTGGTTGAGAGCCTCTTGAAACTGTCGGGCGAGCACAGAGTGACACACCATGAACCCCTTCAGCCAGTAGTGATGCAGCCCGTCAAGCCCCGGACTTTTCCAGTTCGGGTCCCTACGGACCGCCTCAGCTACGTCATCCGGCGTTATGATGACGGAATCCATGGGCGTAATTCTCCCACACTGACCCACCACAACTTCCGTCCAAGGGCCCTCGCTGTGGTTTACGGGCTCTGACCACAGGCCGCGCCAGAATGCTACAGTGTCGGCCTGATTCGGTGCTGGACCCGTTCCACTTAGCATTGGTCTCTCCAATGATTCATAGAGCCTCTTCTGATCACTCTGGAAGAGACGATTCTGGTTGAACCGTGTCGACCTCTCGGTATATCGCCGAATCCGCCTTCCCCAAGCAGCGATTCTCTGCTTCAGATCATCTATGCGCTCCGTCGGTTTTTGCGTTATATCCGGCTGGAACAAACTGACATTTGTCCCAGCAAACGCCATCCTGATGGTGCGCACAATTCTTGGCCTGTTGTTGCCTGATCTGAAGCATATCAGTCTGCCGATGAGAGCTCTAGCCTTTGCGATACGTTCCTCAATTCTTCTTCTCCATGCTGGGATAGCGCTACTATGGCCAGTAGCGCGTCCAGCCGTGGAAACCTTGGCGCCTATGATACGGCAGACTGCCAGCGCGGCGCCAAAAAGAATTGAGTCCGTCTCGCAAAGGTCCCGGCTGGCTTCCAAATAGGTCACCAGCATTGGGTTCAGAGCCCTCAGGACAGCCCGATTCCGCTTGCTTAGGGCTATGCGGGGAAGTCGCGGTCGATTTTCGAGAGGCGTACTGCGCGTTTCCACAATCGCCTCTTCCAATGTACTCCTCATATGCTCTAATTCCAGTTCCTGGGCGACTGTTCCATCATCGTTTGAATCAACCACAACTGGGGTATTCACGGCGGCATCCACGTTTGCGGGTTGCTCTACCATTTGTGGCGCCGCATCCTCAGCCGTAGCATTCTCATCCGACGAGGGAACAGCCTCACGTCGTAGCCGTACGAGTTCGGCGACATCAAATATATTTGAGCGCAAGATATACCGAACTCGGTCTGCCAGGTTTTGCTCTGTGACGGTTAAAGATGGCTCCAGCTCAGCAAAAAGACGATGCATCCTAGCCCGATACGCCAAACATCCAGTTTCTTCCCCTTTTGCCCTAAAGTACGCCCGCAGTGCGTTCGCATTTATTGCTTGTGACCAACGCATGCGACGTGCTCCACCAGCGGCGGGTGCCGCTTGCTGAGTCCGAGAAGACCCAGCCGACACCAAGCCTTCTGGTGGGGATGATGGATGCGGAGGGCTGCTAGGTGACCGTGCAGCTCCTCGCACTCGGCTGGCGGCCCGCATGCTGCCGCGTCCAGCGCCAGCTCCAGACCCCCAGGCGGCGACCCCCAGGCAGCGGCCCTTTGCGCACTATCTTCTTATCCATCATCCATTATTTGGGCGTCCATTAACGGGAGACGCCCAGGCCCGGTACCGTTTCGTGTGTAGCCATAAGCACAAACGGGCCTCTGCACCCTAAATTCTGCCGAGGCACGGCGCTCACACCTCTCGCAAGGCGCTGACTGACTGCGTTGACGTAACAGTTTTGTCACTTAACCTGTAAAGTCGAGCAAGCTACACATGTGTATCAGACATAGACATCTTCTGTTACGTCAGCGGGCGATGGGGTCGTCAATTCCCTACGCATTTTTATTATTATTGTGGGGTATCTATATAGTTTTCTCATCTGGTTGGGTTCTATAAATATATAATTATAAATGAAAATGAAAAGATAAATATACATAAATATCAATAACATAAAATAAATATAAAAGTACATAAATAAATAAAAGCCCAACCCGATGGAGGCCCTCGGCAAGGGAGACCAAACGGCCGAGGGTTAGGGGGAAAGGGAAAGAAACCGGCGGACGATGCGGGCGGTATCGAGGAGCACCGTCTTCTGCATTTGAGCCTGGAGCGGTCCGCCACGTAGTCCCAGTCGCCTCAGATGACCCGAGAGGCTGACTTGGATTAGCCCATTCGCAGAGACGACTACAGGAATAATTTCGGTCGGCAGACCACCCCACATGTCGGTCACCTCGTGAGCCAGGTCCAGATATTTTGTTTGCTTATCTGTTTCGGCTTTCACAAGGTTCTCGTCATACGGAACGGTAATGTCGACCAAAAATATCCTTGACTGTGCCCGGTCCCAATAGAGCCTGGCGCGATCATTTTCGAGCACGGCTTCCGGCAAGTACTTGTAATACGGCAATTTCCGATCCACGAGACCGTATTTCAGAGCGAGCTCCTGGTGTAGAATTCTGGCTACTAGATTGTGCCTGTGCAAGTACTCAGAGTTAGAAAGCGCCGAACAACCGGAGATAACATGCCTAAGTGACTCACCGGGATGGCGTCAAGCTCGACAGATGTCGACGGTGCCATCCTTTAGGATGTATCTCCGATAGTTGTTGGTCTTAATAACCTGATCCTGTATTGCACAGACAAAACCCTCGGTTTCCCCCGAAGAGATCACCAAAGCGTAGCCAGTGGAGGGAGGCTACTGTGTCTACGAAAGGCTCATGTAGAGCCTTGTAGAACCTCCCGTGGAGCTCCTTCTCCTTCCATACGGTCTCCCGATCGGAAATGCTCTGCACTGCCGGGTCTTGCCATTGCTCGTTGGCTAAGGATAGAGGGGTAAGTCCTTTATCACAAGATATGACGTCCTTATAGAATGGATCATCCGATCTCGCCAGGAAGTAATCACGGAGGCTGCACACTTCGTGATTATGCATGGTGAGCGCGCTCAAGAAGCCACGACCACCATGCTTCCGCGGCAAGTACAGCCTCATTACCGACGATCTCGGATGATGCATCCTATAGGAATATGAATAATGTGTTTTTGATATTTACGAGTATCTATTACTTGGTCCTGAATAGCAATTACAAAAGCCTCTGTCTCTGGGAAGAGTTCTCCGCGTTGGAGTCATTCGTTCGACGCTTGCTTGTCGACATGTGCTTGACCGAGATCGGCAAGGTGCCTACCATGCAGAGACTTTTGTGACCACAAATCTATTTTCTGCTGTTTACTTACTATTTTGAGCTGAAAATTTCTGTCATTTAGATTAAGAGGAGTTAGTTTTTTGTCTATACCTACAATATATTTGTGCAGTTGCGAATGTTCAGATTTTACATAGAAATATTTGCGAAATTTGTCTATTAGACTGTTGTGTAAATTTTGTATATCGATGATGCCTCTCCCTCCATCTTGGCGTGGTAATGTGAGACGCTGTGTACATGATCTGGGATGGTGTTTTCTGTTTACTGTCATATTTGTATTAATTGTGCGTTGAAGTTTAACTAAATCACTCTGAGACCAATTTATTATTCCAAAAGAATGGCTTTTATAATATTGCGTGAATTTAGCTGAGTTCTTAATATTTGGTTTATTCCAATTTTAAATTTTTTAGTTATTTCTATTTTTGCTTGTTTTTGATGTATCTGTTTGGACTGATGAAATCCTAAATATTTATATGTGCTATGTTCGTCCATGGGCTCTATTTGTTCACCAGTACTGAGTATATATGTATTGTTTATTGATTTTCCGCGAATGATAGAATCTACTTTGCATTTATCAACACCAAATTGCATTTTTATGTCTGTAGAAAATGACTGTGTTAAGTCTGCTAGTATTGTAAGTTCAGTGTTGTTGGTTGCATAAATTTTTATGTCGTCCATATACAGTAAATGTGACAGAATGTGATATGAGTTATTATACTTTAATTTAAAACCTACATTAGTACTATTGAGTAATTCTGATAACGGGCTAGACAAAACCATAACGGACTAAGAGCGTCTCCCTGAAATAAACCTCTATGTATTTTCATTGATTCAGTACTTAAGGAACTGTTATTTATTAATTTTAGTTTCATTTTCCAATGAAGCATGGCTACATTTAAAAATGAAATCAGACTGGTATGAATTTTATAATATTTTGGTACATAAATTAACCAGCTATGAGGGACAGAATCAAATGCCTTTTTGTAATCAATGTACATTATATGAATATTTCTATTTTTATTATGTGCTTGTTTCATGGCTATTGCATCTATTGTCAACTGTTCTTTACATCCCTGGCTATTTTTCTTACAACCCTTTTGTTGTTCTGCAAGAATATTTTGTTTGTCAAGGTGTCTGTAGATTGTTTCGCTAATGCATCCTGTAATAATCTTGTATATCGTTTGTAGGCATGTTATAGGTCTGTAGTTTGCGGGGTCCTTTGGATCTGAGCCTTTCGGAAGCATGTAAGTTAGACCGCTTGTTATGAATGTTGGCATATTATGTGGTGAATGTATGAATTGACAAATATGATTGTAGATAAATGGATGTGTACATGTGAGCTTTTTGTACCAGTAATTATGTATATTATCGGTACCCGGTGCTTTCCAATTTTGTGTGCGTTTGATTATTTGAATGAATGTTTCTACTGTGATATTTTCAAAATCCATTTGTTTAATATTTGGTGCTTTTGCTATTTTGTCTAACCACTCAGCCTTACTATTATGTGCTATTGGGGTTTTCCCATAGGCCTGCCCAAAATTGTTGTAAGTGTTGTGGTGATGGGAATTGAGTAGAACGTGTAGTATTAATCTGGTGTTCGTGCCCTAAAGTTCTGTAGAACTGTTTTTCATTATTTAAAAAGCTTGCATTTTGTTGTTTCCGTTTAGTACATGTTAAATATCTTCTCAATCTATTTGATAGCGCGTTTCATTTTTGCTTGAGTGTGTCGAGAAAATGTTGTGGCTCCGTATTAGATTCTTCATGTTGAGAGTGTGTTTTATATTTCCTCTTTATTTCTTCTACAGTCTTTAGTATTCTCATATTTCTATTTCCTATTATGTATTGTGTTAATCTTCCAATTTCTAATCTATATTTTTCTATTCTGCTTTCAATTCTTCTTTGCCAGGTAGGTTTTCTATTTCGATTGTTTGCAGTTATATTTCCCTCTGTGTTAAATCTGGTACCATTACATAAGGCGGCTGTATAAGCTGCTGAATATATTAAGGTATGTAATGAAATAAAATCTAAATCGTGACTAAGATGCCTCGGTAAAATTTCATTATTCAAGTAGTGAACAATCTGTGCAAATTTTCGTGAATATTTCTGTTTTGGGATGAATGGTCTAGCTTCAGCATCAGTTGTGCTAAATATTGCAATAGCATTATTAAATTCTATTTCAATTTTATTGCTTTCCATGAGGTTTTGTAATTGGGAGTTTTCCTTTTGAGCATTACTTAATGTACATGTCTTTAATGACAGTGTTTGTGCTATCTATCATGTTTTCAAGTTGAGTATGCTGTGTGGGTGTAAAGATGTCTGTTGTGCTTTCATACGGGGTTTGTTGCGTTTGTTCTACTACGGTATAATTTTGATCTGTAACTAGTTCTCGATTATTAAGCTCCAATTTCAATTCTACTTCTCTTCTCAATTCGTGAATTTTATTTGAGTATTTCTTATTTTTAAATATTAATCTTCTTTGGTCGGCAATCCTCTGTTCAGTAAGGTAAGATAAATATGGATGTCTTTCTATGAACAGTTCATACAATTTTTTTCCGGTAGCCAGTTTGATCTTTCTCCAACTCAGTTACTTCAAGATAAAACCTAATGATGTCTTCATTTATTTCATCCGACCATTTCATCCTGGTATTGTTCGTAGTATTTGTTTGTGATGGTGCTGTAATTTGAGTGATGTGTGTGTGTTTACGGTTCTCATTCTGTATAATATATTCTCTAATAGTTTTTGTGGCAGTAGTTTTCTTCTTAATATAGCTCGTTTTTGGTCTCCTAGTCTTTGCCGAGTGGCTTTCATTTCGGGATATCTACTTTCAAATTCCTGGTATTATTATTATTATCTGTTTCCTTATCTTTAAAAAATCACTTCGCTTTTTATGTAAGTTGTGGTTACCTGTAAGAAGATGAACACGTAGCATATAGTCGCCGTGTTGAATTATATTTTTGTTAGTATTGTGTATCATCTGTTGGTGATCCAAATAAAGAGAAGAAAAATAAAGGTTAAAACCTAAATAGCACCACATTAAATAAATCCTACCTGAGGCAAAGCTAGGGCGGATTAT